TCAGCCACACTACCACTCGCCGCACTTGCTAGTTCATTGAAGCCTAACATTCCACAAGCAATTCAATCTACAATCAGCCTAAGAACCTCTGAGAATTCAAATCAACTGCACAATCAGCCAGCATCCAAGCAGCAGTTTACCTCCCGATGACCCTCCCCTGACATGATCTACCCACCACAAGACCATCACAAGACCTTCACCTCACGTGACCCACACCTGACATGACCCATTACTAGACCTTCACCTGAATGTGACCCTCCCATCACAAGATCTACTTCTTCTGTATAAGCAGAAGAACACCAACACTGACATTCCCTAAATTTTGCTGACAATGTTACCTAGCCTGGTAACAAAACATTTGGAAAGTAACCCACAGGCTCAGAGAATGAACCTCCATTATCATCCTATACCCGAGCTACAAATATTTTCCACTATTGCATGGCTATAAGTCATGTATAAGCTGTAATGCAAGTCTAAGGCACAGTAACTTGAGAATAATATTTATGACTCAAAAAGTGAGTTGAAAACAATTTTAGGTGCTCAAATAGTGCAAAAGTACAGAATTTCAGTTCTAGTAGGTGAAGGATGTCATTATGATTTTCAGTTGCCTCTCTTATGGAAGGCTTTATATTTCTGACAATATTTTGATATGGAAACTTGTGTGTGTGTTCTGTGATTCTCCTATATATTTTTTATTTGATCTAATCTGATTTGATTTGACTCAAACTGATTTGATTTTGGCACCATCTTTTTCCAGAGCTATTCTAAGCATCTTGAGACAGAAAACAGAACACAAATAAAATAACATAAATACAAAAACACAATCATTATCCATACCTGTTTTTTCAAGAGTTAATGAACATCTTCCTGGGCTGTTTTATGATGATTTTCCTACCAACTTAAACAGATTGGTTGATGTTTAGTTTATAAGTATGATTAGTTGGAATTTATTTTAATGAAATGTTTTGGATTTAACTTTGGATTTATATGTTCCATTGTATGAAAGAGGGATTTTTGTTTTGTGCTACTAATTTATTTTACATCAAAGGAAACTATTTGCATAAAATATGTACATTTTATAAACACTAGATAGTAAGATTTCACAGACCAAGGTGTGATTAAACCAAGGTGATGTATAGACCAAATATTTTTAGTGATTCTCAAAGAGGAAAGTGTGTGTAATTACTGGTGCTAAAATCAAAACATTGCCAGTATTTATTTTGGCATAATTGTATTCATCTTAAGAAATGAGGAAGGAATAATTTAAGAAATATTCTTGTGTTGTCTCTTGTCCCACTGATTTATGGTATTAACATGATACTGCTTGATTGCATTTACCTCATTAGACGGAGCATAAAATTAACTGAAAACTTTTTGAATTAGTTTTTCATTTAAAAAAAACATTGGGCCATTTCTGGTTATATTACAATAATGCTCTCTTGCATTGGGAATAGCTTTGCTTCTGAATATTATCCATCACAGAGACATTTTAACTGATATTCACATCTTGGCTAAAGCAGCTACTTGCATACACAACTCTCCATTTAAATGTACTTTGTAAAATGCATATTTAAAATGAAAATAATGCAATGCACACCCAAGCAGTAGCTCAGCAGTTAAGGTGCTAAACTTGTCGACCGGGCCCTAGATTTGCCCATGTGACATCTTTGTTGCATGAGCTGCACTGGCTTCCATTTTTTTCTGAGTGCAGTTTAAGATGTTGGTCATCACCTGGAAAAGCCCTATATGGCACATGGCCAGGTTACACGTGGGACTACCTTTCCTTAAATCATTAACTTTTATGTCTCTAAGTCTACCCATCCTACTAGGCCAGATGGGCTGCATATACTTCTATTCCTTTTCCCTAAATATTTCCATCTGAGGGGAGCTAGGAAATGTGTCTTTTCTGTGGAACCCTCTTCCTCTATCCCACTGGCCTTTCATAAAGCCTTTGAAGACTTGACTTTTTCCCCCAGGCACTGGCATAAGATTAAATGACAGAACAGTTTATCTTGATGCCAAGTTTTTATTTTTAATATTTTAGTGTATTTAGTGTCATAGGCTTAATATGGTTTCATGTGATATTTTAGCTTTTGATTAGGAGCCACTCAGAGTTGGTAAGAATATAGGTGACTGTATAAATGTTTTAATAAACAAACAAATAAAATAGTATTAATAATGAATTTTTAAAAATCATTATTTTTCCATATCTGTATTGGCTCCTCCGAACTATGCTATTCATGGTAATAATAGGGTAAGAAAAGCCTTACAGAATTAAAATATTTCATAAAAAATCTCTCCCCTAATTTGTAACACATTGTACACCCATTTTATTTTTATTTTTATTTTATTTATTTTGTCAAGCAATTATAAGATAACAGGTATTAGTATAAACATAGTTATGGATACATGAAATGGATACATATAAGAAAAATAAAAAGAAACAATAGGACAGGGACGGTAGGCACATTGGTGCGTTGACCACTCTGTTGCTGAAGTCGTATTTCCTGCAGTCAAGTTTGGTGCGGTTTTTTTATGTCTCATCCCTTGGATAATTTTTTTTTAAAGTAGCAACTGCTGCTGTACAATGATTACAGTGATGGAGTCAGATAGGGAAGATCCTCTTGAGGTGCCTGGAGGATGCATGGACGGGGGACAGAGGTTTTGGCTGAACCCTGGCAAGACTGAATGGTTTTAGGTCTATGGAACTCTTAGATCCAGGCCTTTGACATCTTTAATTCTGGATAGGGTGACACTTCCGCAGATCCAATCTGCAACTTGGAGATTCTCCTGGATATTCCTGTTCAAAGAGCAGGTAGCAGTCGCAGCTAGGAGAACTTCAAGTAGTGTGCCAATTGTGGCCTTTCTGGATCAGGAGTCCCATGCTCAATCATTCAAGCCCTGGTCATCTAATGCCTGGACTACTGCAATGGGGCTAACCTTGAAAACCGTTAGGAAATTTCAACTTGTGCATAGTTAGCAGTGCAAGGAATCTTTGGTGCCCCTAGAATGTTACACTGCTGTTCCATGAGCTGCATTGGCTGCCACTATTTTGGCTGCCAGTCAAGGTGTTGGTTATTATCTATAAAGCCATGCATAACATGAGTCCTGGTTACTAGAAAAATCATCTCACCCATATGGGACAGGCCTGCCCCACCCATTTTTCAGAGGAAGCATGCTGCAGATACCGTCAATCAAGGAACCCCAGCTACTGGGCTCTTTTCCATCACCCGAGTCCTTTGGAACAATGTGCTCCCTTGGGCTTTCAGTGAAGTTTCAGTGAAGTTAAAATGCAACAACCAATAATTCCTATATATAAATTTACCCAGGAATAATTACCATGGGATAATTCTGAAATACTAAAGTATGTTCTTCAGAATGGATTTTGTATGAGTAGTCCTTCCACCTCTACATCCTATAACAGCAAAGTGGATTGCTTCATCAAAAGCTTAGGATCCATTCAGATTAGATCAACTAAGTTTAATATTATTCAATCCAGTGCCTTTATACTTTAAAAGCCTTTCACTAGAGCAGGAATGTCAAACTCAAGTCCCGGGGGCCAGATCTGGCCCATGAGGTACTTAGATCTGACCCATGAGGACATGCTGGAAATGGTGAAGGACTGGCCTGCGGTGCCTCTGCCAGTAAAAACAGCTCAGGAGGGCTGTCCCGAGCTCCATTTTTGCTGGCAGAGGGTTGCAGGATGCTGTTGCAGCTGAAAACAGAGCTTGGGAGCCACAGATGGCCCCGACATGAGTGACATTGAGCTGGCCACACCCACCCCGGCCCCCTGAGGTCAAACACAACTCTGATGAGGCCCTCAATGAAATTGAGTTTGACACCCCTGCACTAGAGTAATGGAGAAATGCATAATTTCCTGGAAACAATTCATTGAAATCCTGAGCTTAATTTAAGCAGGATAGCACTATAACATTATAATTATAAAGCTTAGTTTAGATCCATTCCATCACAGAAGGGACATTACTAAAGAATATTATCAAGTATTATCCTCATAGGCAAAATGTAGGTTTTTTATGTATCTAAAAGCTATAGATAATATTAAATTAGGTGGTTTTTTATTTTGGAACCTGTCTGCTATCATGGCTGAATGTATTTGAATATTGAAAATAACAAGAAGCCTTCTAAGTACCAAAAAATAAAGAATACCACTGAGCAAAACTCAGATCCTACCAATATAGATACATAACAATATTTTGCCCGGGAGTCTTAAGAGTACTTTGTATTTTAAATCAGAAGTTATTAAATAAGCTGAATCCACTATAGTCTTTATGTTAATAGACATTAATAAAAATTGGGGCGTGAAATTAATGTTGTCCGTTAAGTCCAATTTATATCTGATCAACTTTATTTTGCCATGTGTTTTCCTTAACTGGACAGGCAGATGCTTTGAAGAATTCTAAAACAAAGTCTGCAGCGATAGCATTTTTTCATTATTATCTGGTAGTCCTGGTATTTGATCAGGACTAGATTCATTCCTAAAAAAAGAACAACATAGACCTACATAATAACAAATGACAAAATAACTGTGGTATTTCATTGCTTGAAATTAAGGTCATTAATCCAGAAAAAATCTTATTGAGCCCTTTTACAACATGATGTTATCAAATATATGTTGCATTCCAACTCTTAAAATCCTTAGCTAGCCTTTGTTGGCCAAACTGGTTAATAAATTACATGAATTGAAATCCAACTTATCTCAAGAACGTCTTGTTGGGGGTCATTTAATGCAGGGATGTCAAAATTCACGGCCTGCGGGCTGGATGCTTCACACGTTTGTCACACTCACCCCCATTTTAATAAAAAAAAGTTGCAATACGTCACATAATGATAATGTGATGTGAGTTTGACACCCCCAATTTAATGCATGTTTATAATAATAAACAATATGAATCAGAATTTTATTGTATTTGGTGCTGATTATCATCATATTAATATCTCTACTCATTATACTGGTCTTTCATTTTTATTATGAACTTCAGGGCAGAGCTTGCTTCATGCTGCGATGCTATGCATAATTTTATTGCTTCTCAAAATAATACCCCACTGGGAAGCAACATGACTTATGAAGTGGACAATAAAAAAACCATCCACATTACAGAGGACATATTCCAGATGTTGCCAGAGGTAAGAATAGCTATGATGTTTATAATATATCATAAACAAAGCAGTATAGGACCAATAAGAGGTGGAAAAAAATTTTTTTGAGTTTAGTTTTGACAATAATAATTAAAAAAATAAATTCTATTCAACTCAGCTCTAGTCAGATGTGATGTACAATTTCACCTCACCAGAATTGAAGAATGCCTTTTGCATGAGAAAGTTTTGTCAGTTTGAAATAAATGATTAGGCCAAATACAAAGACTCAAATGTAAAATTGATCCATGTTTTGGTCCATAATTGTATGCAAGGTCATTGCTATGTACCTCTAGCATTTTAGAAAGCAAATATGGTAAGAAGTTATGGAGATACACTATAGAAAGGTATGCATTCATTGACTGGATTCACATTTCATCTTATATACTATGGGCTTGATTTGTATATAAATGTTGCTATTGTAGGTTGTAGACCAGTGGTTCCCAAAGTGGGCAGTACCACCCCATGGGGGGCAGTGAGATGCTTTAAGGGGGTGGTAAGAGGTAAGGGGGCCAGCGGGGGGGCGTTTGAGGTGCTGGCCCCGCAGGCTCACTGACTGCCGGCTACGCAGCCCATTGACTTTCCAGCCAGCCAGGCTTGCGCACAGGATGCAGCTGGGTGCAGCTGCGTCTCTCCAAGGCACGTGGCTCGGTTCGGTTGGCCTCTTTGTGGACATCCTGGACCTAGAACCTAGCCTCCCTCTGCAGCCCGGTTCTTCCGACCGAGCCATGCGCTTGCTTGCTTGCTTACTTAATTTCCAAGCAATCGTTCACTCCGCCTCCACCGGTCTGGGCTGCTTCCGCATGCCTTCCTCTTCCTGGGCCGAGCATAAAGATGGGTGGAATGCTTCATTGAAGTTGTGAGTCTCTGAGCATTTGCAGAGTACTTCCCCTTGCTTGGCCCGATGGAAGTGGACCTTGGGTTGAAGCAAAAAGGGTGAGGCTGGCTGCATCGCTTCCCTGGGGAAGTTGGCATTGCAAAATTGGATGCCAAAGGGGGCAGCTGCAGGGTGCTGGAGAAGGGGCAGAGGGGGCAGCTGCAGGAGGCTGGAGAAGAGGCAGAGGGGCAGCTGCAGGGGGCTGGAGAAGGGGCAAAGGGGGCAGCTGCAGGAGACTGGAGAAGAGGCAGAGGGGCAGCTGCATTAAGGAGCAGGAAGATCTTAGCCACAATTTATTCATTGGCTAAGCCAGAATCAAACAGCATGCTAAACTCTAAACCAGAATGGCTGGGTTGATATATTCAGCCCGTGTTTCTCAACCTTGGCAACTTGTGTGGACTTCAATTCCCACTCTGGCTTTGCTCTACTAACTTTCTCAAAGTGCCACTGCTGTCTCATTCTTTCTTTCTGTTTGTCCATCCATCTATCCATCCATCCATCCATCCATCCAAAGGTCTGCCTGCCTTCCTTTCTACCTACCTACCTACCTACCAATATAGATCTATCTATCTATCTATCTATCTATCTATCTATCTATCTATCTATCTATCTATCTATCATCTATCCATACATACATCCAAAAGGTCTGTCTGCCTGCCTCCCTCCCTCCCTCCCTACCTACCTACCTGCCTACTTGTCTTTCTCTCTACCTACCTATCTACCAATATAGATCTACCTACCTACCTACCAATCTACTTACCTACCGACCTATCCATACATTCATCCAAAAGGTCTGCCTGCCTGCCTTCCTATTTACCTATCTATCTACCAATCTATCTACCTACTTACCTACCTGTCTCTGTCTGTCTGTCTGTCTCTCTCTCTCTCTATCCATCCATCCATCCATCCATGTTTGAGGCCCTGCAGTCACATTGGGAAAGTAGAGCAAAGCCAGTCTGGGAGGAAGGGAGGGGAGAGAGAGAGAGAGAGGGAGGGAGGGAGGGAGGGAGGGAGAGAGAGAGAGAGAGAAAGAGAGAGAACTGATGCATCAGATTGAATGAGGCCTAGTCTAGACTGAGGCCTTTTTCCACATTGAAACATTTTTGCCAGCACATTGAAACATCTTTGGCTTCTATTAAAGGTTTTGTGGACAAAACATGGTCAAGGCTATCAGGAAGCTCTCACATTTTGTTGAGGCTTTAAACAGGATCCATTGGACCAGATCTCCATTCTAAAAATTACTTTTCCCCAATGTATTAATTACAGTGCCAATTCTGAAGAAGGCAAAACCAAAATGTACTGGTAAATTATAAGGAGAACACACACACACACACACACACACACACACACACACACACACACTCCCTTCTAATCCTGTTGGAGCAGGTGATTGGACTAGAAAAGATATCTCATTATCTTTCTCCTCCCTCCTTTATTTCTTTTTCTTTCTGTCCCTTCCTTCCATCCCCTCCTCTTTCTTTGTCCCTTTTTCTTTCTTTCCCTTTTCTCTTTCTTTTCTTCCTTCTTTCTCTGTCTCTCTCTCTTTTCTTTCTCTCTCTTTCCCTCTTTCAGGCTCACCCCATTGACTTGACTTGCTTGGGCAGGTCCCTCCAATCCAGTGGGCTCAATGGGGTGGACCTGTGGGGCCGGCACCTAGAACGCGGCAGTGTCGGCATGTTTGAAAAGTAGAGCAAAGCCAGAGGTCGGTAATTTTTGCTGCAAAGAATCACAAAAGCTTCTGGGTTGTGCACAAGAAAGGATATGCGTCAATGCAGTTCAGCAACATAAAATAAAGAAATACAAATAAAACAACAAGAATTGGCAAAGCATCTCTGATTAGATTTTATTCTCTGCTAGAATCTAATCAGAGATGCTTTGCTGATTCTAGTGCAATGACCTGCTCCAGCAGGGTTAGAAGGGAATGTGTGTGTGTGTGTGTGCATGGCTGTCAAAACTCCAAAAACAGATCAAGTATCTCTGGGGAGGCCAGTCATAAATTAGAACATTTGCTAAGCAACCAGCCATTAAGTGAGGACCACGTATATTTGGTTTGCCAGTCACCTGGCCACACCCACCCAGTCACATCACCACCAGATCACACCTATCCTGTCGTGTGACCAGCAAGCCATGCCCAGCCAGCAAGCCATGCCCACCCAGTCACGTGACCAGCAAGCCACACCCTCAAATTAGGCCACACCTACAGAAATTTGAATCCCACCCTTGGGTGGGGGTCACCGAGGATGAGTTTGTAGCACCAAGGGTGGGTGGACTGAAAAAGTTGGGGAACCACTGTTGTAGACCATGTTTATGGTTTTGCACAGCAGCATTTCAACAAACCATGATTAAATGAAAATTGGCTTAATGAAATGTGTGTATCCCGAATTATTGTTTGGTCCCTGGAAAACACTGGGAGTTTAAGGATAGGAGACTTATACTTACTAGCAATCATTCAGTAAGTACTTTATTAAAAGAAATGGATGCTCATCCTGTTTTAAACTCTGACAACTCTGTCACTGTCTCTTGTTTTCAGTTTCAGCCTCTGGATTTTCCTTTCAAGCATTGTGCAGTTGTTGGAAATGGAGGAAATCTTAAGAGTTCCAATTGTGGAGCTGAAATAGATAAATCTGACTTTGTGTTCAGGTGAGATTTTAAGTATGATAATCCACTCATTGCATTAATACAAAAGAGAATCATTGCATTAATAAGAAAGAGAGTCAACCAGCCTTTCCCAATGTGGTGATATTGGCTATGGATGACCGGAGTTATAGCCTAACAGAAGCCTAGAAGACGAAGGCACATGTTGTAGAACAGGGATGTCAAACTCATGGCCCTCCAGATGTATGACGCTGGCCACGGTCCACCCCCAGTTTATGAAGGAGAAAAGGTTGTGATATGTCATGTGATGGCAGCATGATGATGCGAGTTTGACACCCCTGATGTAGAAGAATGTAAAGATCATTAACTGCAAATATAACATTGTTTATACCCACCTTTCAATACCAGCTGATTGTGCCGGAATTTAGATATTCAAGTACAGTATGGTCAGTTCTAAGTAGGGATAGCAAGCAAAGGGTTAAGTTATATTTGCTATGTTTGCCTGTATGGTTTTTTATTGCTCTGTAATGAAATCAGCTGTATCAGATCCATACATATGTTGAGGTGAGCTTAGTTCTGAGGTTTTCTATTGAAATGAAGACAACCTGAATCAAATAAATGCACGGTACTTCCACCTCACCAGTTTTCTTTCCCCAAATGATCTATTGAAGTACTTCTATTGTAGCTTGTTGCAAATGTAACTGGACTTAAGACCAACCTCACATCTGAAGAGTTACCTCTGATCCATCTATTCTCCTTTTGAAAGGCTGACAAGATGGAAAGGCTGTTACATATTTTTTGTAGTTACATAAATTTGTGTCTACTAAACTAAAAGATACATAAATTTGTATCACAAATCCATCCACATAATTAGATAAATATCCTCCCATTGTAAAGAAGGAACGCTGTAAGTTAGTTATGATTCCTAATTTTGAGCTTCAGATATTATGTATATGATACATTTCAGCATATATTTATGCCAAAACATAGGTTCCATTATTTCTTAAAGACATATTTGGAAAAAGCCTTAGAAATCCAATCTTTCAGATACAGTGACAAGGCTATAAAAGTAATAAAACTACAATTCTCAGAATTCAGCTGGCTAGAGGTTAGATAGAGCCTGATTTGGTAAAATTAATGTATCTTTTAATACTTGAGAGAAATCTGACTATTACAATAGGGGAATAGGAGTGGAATCTAAACACCTTTTGTAAAATTACAGGTGTAATCTTCCCCCAACCAGCGGAAATGTCAGTCAAGATGTTGGCAATAAGACAAACCTTGTAACTGTTAACCCAAGCATTATAGCTCAGAAGTGAGTATACCTGTAGTATGATTTGCAATCTATGTTTAATTATTAGGCTAAACATCCAGAAACTCATTGGTGTGTTATCCACACCATCATGGCTTCTCAGTTCTATTGGCTTCATTAATGTCTCAAATTCCTTCTTAAAAGGCAGGCTAATGCAAAGAGAGATCCTTATCCTTTCCATCCTTTGAAAAAATAATGCAGCCGTGGAGCCCTATAGTTTCTGCTTCCACAAATTTCTCCATTGCTTTGAGATCAAGAAAGCATTGGAATAATGAAAACCATTATCTAAAAAGTGCCAATAGGCTTTCTTGTCTCTCAGTGCCCCTTAAGGTTTTGCTTCAGTGCTGTAGCTACTTTTATATTATGCATTGACTGAACATATGGCAAAGAATCAAAAGGAAAGGGAGGAATAGATTTTCCATGAAACAAAATCTGCATAGTTATTTTTTTAAAAAACAGCTCACTTTGTGTACAAACTAAATACTTGTAAATTTTAATAAACTGTAAGCTCATTCTGTCTGCCTGTCTAAAGTTAAACTACTGCTACTTAAGGAATATGCCCTACATTTTTAGCACATATCCACATCCAGTATCTTTGCTCTTATGACCAGATATAACAAACTGAATGATCGGAAGGCCACCTTCCTGGAAAACATTGCAAGTTATGGAGAAGCTTTCCTCTTGCTACCCGCTTTTTCCTTTAGAAGCAACACAGCAGCATCTTTCAAAGTACATCACACCCTGAGAGAGTTCAGCGCAAAACAGAAGGCCATATTTTTCTATCCAAGGTATCTCAAAAGTCTTGCCCAGTTCTGGAGAACTAAGGGTGTCAAAGCCTACCGACTGTCTTCTGGCTTCATGATCACCAGTGTAGCAGTGGAACTCTGTGAGAATGTGAAGCTGTATGGTTTTTGGCCTTTCTCCAAAAGCATAGCAGGTATCCCCATAAGTCATCACTACTATGACAACCAACTTCCAAAGCCAGGTTTCCATGCCATGCCTAAAGAGTATAACCAGATTCTCCAGCTCCATGGAAGAGGTATCCTCAAGTTGCAATTTGGCAAATGTTTGACAGAGTAGTCCATGTTTTTGTTTCAGAATGGAGGACACTTCTGTGAAGGCCATACATTCCTATTCTGGTAGAGGGGAGAAGAGTAGATGATAGGTGATGCCAGAAGTGTTGGATGCTGGAGCTCAAACTGGGTTGTAAAACCTCTTTTCTCTCTGTCTTTCTGAAACTCTTTTTTTTTTCTTTGTGACAATCCATTTGTTTATAGAAGTCCCTTCTCTGATTCTATTTTATCCACTTGACATTTTCTAAAATTATTGTCTATAAAGGGCTTTTGAATGAGGACACCTGCACAGAATTATGGTGAGAACCAGAGGGAGCATTAGGATCAAAGATTTGCCATTTTTACTTTCAATAAAAGAGAATATGTATAGCTCAGGGTTGAACTGGAAAGTCCTTGGTGCCCTCTGAATCTGGTTGTTTTCTTGTAGATATTTCATTAGCCAACTAAATAAAATAATCGGTGACTTACATTGATGATATTATCTAGGCAGGTAATGAAATGTTTGCATGCAAATAACCAGGCTTGCAGAGCACTAAGAATTCTTTATTTTATTTGAGTATATAGTAATTAATTAAGCAGCAATGGCTTCATGTCTTATAACTGGGAAGGAAAATCTGTAACCCATAATCACATACTATCTTCAAAACCAGACCTCTACAATTGAGATTACTACATAGTTTGTTGTTAGTTGGAGATAGAGATGCATAAAAGTTGTAAAAGAAGCCTAAATATTTTAATACGGCTTTACGATTTTTAATGCCATCTGAAAACCAGGGAAAAATAGATCTTACTCCTGCCTAGGGTTAAATAGGGCCACCACGTGATCATTGTACATCCATAAACCTGAAGCTTTTAACTGCTCCAGAAATGTTAATTGACTTGCCACTTTAGAGTGCCTCTGACTGTTATTACCTGTGAATTTTTCTGGGCATATCCTTAACTAAAATTATAATTTTAATTTTGCCATGTGCCATGTGAACATGATACCTCCTTGTAGAAGGAACGTGGGAGAGAAATAAATGGAGTCTTGCTAGATAAAAATCATTCTATTCAATGCAAACTTTGTTCCCTACAAAGATCAGCAAGAACGTAAATTAAAAATATCCAAAATAATATATCTAAAAACATTCATGATGTATGCAAAGATATTTTAAAAAACAATAATGTATGGGCTTATGTATGAACTTCTAAACACAGATTTGATACTAGGGGAAATGCTGGCTTAGAATGAATGATGTTCTGCATTTTTTAAATCATTAACCTTTAGCCTAAAAGAGAAGCTGTATAATTTTTTATTGAGTTTTCCAGAGAAAATAATGTTTGATGATATTCTCAAGGAGGAGATCTGAACTTTTTATATTTATTTTATATGTAAGGAGATTTTAAGATACCCTATCTTTCACTGGACAATTATTTCTCCATCGATATTCAGCCTCCTTCTCTTTATTGAATCCCAAGGTAAAATGTCATGACACAGAGATGTACTGCAATCTGTTGTTGGACTTGATCAATGATTAATTTTTCCAAGTATAACCTACAAAACATTTTGTACTTAAGTATGGCGATACAAATAAAAGTAAATGTGTGCCATTATAAATGGTTGTAATCTACCTTTTTACATAGATTACATTTTCAAAGCTCAGAATATTCACTAGAAGACACAATCTCAGGATGAAAGTGGTGTTTATGTAGCTTTGCATGCTTAGTTGTTATTCTTATAAATGTATTTATTGTTTTCTTAATACAACCTAAAATGATAGAGCACTGTCTGTCTAAGATCTTGAAATATTACTGAACCTTTTCCAATGTGCAAAGAGTTATACATGGACTATGTTTGAATGTAAGCCTTCCTCTGCCTTGTGCCATTGCTTTTTTGTTTTTGTTACTTGTGGAAACTCAATGTATTATCCAACTTATTTCTATGAAATATTAAATTGCCAAAAAGTGAAACCCTCTGCAATCTCTTCACACCAGTGTGCAGGTAACATGTACTGAATCTTCTGCATATTTGTCTTGTTCATCTCCTCTACAGAATCTTCTGTTATACTTAATAGTAATTGAGAGCAGGCAAGAGATTTTAAAAAAATATTCCAGCATGCCTTATACAATCAAATACTCCAAGAATTAAACTCCATTTCATTCTCCAGTCATAATATCAAAAATTACATATTCCTGTATATTGATAAAATAAAAAAAGATGAAAGTATACTTTATAAGTGTAACACTAAAGAATGGAATTCATGAGGTCAGAATAATGTGAAAAAGAAAAAAAAATGTTTTGCAGGGAACTAGTGCCAATGTGCTTTCCACACCCATAATACTTTTCTTGTATGGGCAGATAATCTATTTCTAATTCATGCATGTTTTACAGATAATCATCTGGACTCTGATATTTAATTCTTAATATGCGTTTCATTAAAATACTATTAGAATTAAATTATTAACAAGTCTTGATTAAATTTTCTTTTTTTAACAACATGAAACAAAGGAGAACAAATTATATCATGCATTCCAATAAAAAATAGGATTTGCCTCTTGGGCAACATTTTCAGACCATTGATGGCATTCCATTAACCAAATGAGGCACTTGTCTATAAAAATTGGAGAAATAAATAACTTTCTGAATTACTTTCTCCAGAGATGAAAGTCAGAACAAATATTCCACTGAGCATAGGCACTTTCAGAAACTGAAATTCTGGTTACAAAGCTCAAGGAATTCTGTCAGGGTCAATCTATATGTGAAAATCATATCTAGTTTTGATAATTAAATCTCTCTCAGATTTTCCATAGTCAGCAGAAATGTAGAAACTACATAGATCCAGCTGCCTTTTACATATGTTCTCAATTGGTACCACTATCACAGGGGTGGGCAACTATGGCCCTTTTATGAATTATGGACTTCAACTCCCAGAATTCCTGAGCAAGCCATGCTAGCTCAGGAATTTTGGGAGTTGAAGTCCACAAGTCATAAAGGGGCCATAGTTGCCCACCTCTGCACTATCAGAATACAGAATAACAGAATTGGAAGGGACCTTGGAAGTCCTCTAGTCCAAGCCCATGCTGAAGCAGGAGAGCCCATATCATTCCAGACAAATGGCTGTCTAATTTCTTAAAAACCTCCAATAGTGGAGCCCACACAATTTCTAAGGGAAAATTGTTTTCAATTTTCAGCAAAATTTTCCTTAGTTTTAGGTGGATCTCTCCTTGACAAGTTTCCATCCATTATTTCTTGTCTTGCCCTTAGATGCTTTGGAGAACAGGTTGACTCCTTCTTTCTGAAAATGGGACTAATCCTCCCTCCATTAGATAATCTAATGGAGAGAGGATTAGTCCCATTAGACATACTCAGTTGCTGCAGCTATTCACTTTACGTTTTAGACTTCAGACCTCTACTCGTAACTTCGTTCTGCACTTTTTCTAGAGGCTGAACAACTTTTTTAATGTCATGGTGACCAGAACTGAATGCAGTATTCCACATGTAGTCTCACCAAGACAGGATATAGCAGCACTAATATTGTATGTGTTTTGAATAGACTGTTTCTCTTTTGATGCAGGATTCCTAGACCCCACTCACAGTTACTACCATTAAGCCAGATATTATCTTTTCTATAACTGCATTTGATTTTTCTTTCCTAAGCATAAAATGTTACTTTTCTCACCACTGTGTTGCATTTTGTTAGATAGGGTCCAGTGTTCAAGTCTATCAAACTCTTTCTGGAACTTCTAAAGTGTTGGCTATTACCCCTAGCTTGGTGCTGTCTGTGAATTTGTAATAGTTCCCTTTTATTCCCTCATCTAAATCATTTATGAAGATGTTGAAGAGTACCGGACCTAAGACAGAACCTTGGGTATCCTACCGAATACTTCCTTCCATGTAGATGTAGTTCTATTGAGGACTACACATTGAGTGTGGTTGGTCAGCCAGATGCGATTCCATCTGGTGGTGATGCTGTCTCAGATTGCTCTATTTTACTAAGAAGTAGGTTGTGGTCTACTTAATCAAATGCCTTACTGAAGTCCTGAAGCACATGCCACTGTTGTTATACTCCATTCCTGATTCTTGATTTCAGAGAAATGTAATCTAAGTGGAGACACATAACTCAGTAGCTGACAAGATCCGTGTGAGAAATTCCTACATATGTGTTGTCACAATGTTAGAATTTTGCACTGGACTTAAAAGCACGCTATATTTGAAAATTCATTAAACAAATCAATATGGCTTCAGCTTATAAAACCAGGGAATGTCCTTTTGGTTTTTATGTCTATTGAAAGATAGCTTATGGTTTTCTCCAGAACTTTTAAATAAATACTTTTTCATTGTAGTATTTATTGGTTTATTGAATTTCTACAATGATTGAGCTATTGGAAATAGAATCCCAAACTATTTATGCTTGCGTAATATTTTCCTCTTCTTTTAGTCTCTTTTCAGTAAATTTGTCACAACACTTGATACTGTACAGTCCAACTATAATATTGTTGTCTATTTGAAATTATTACTAAGTGTCTGATTATATTTCTGTATCAATACCTTCATTTTTTGTGCAATGTATTGGGAATTGTACTCTGCTGCCTTTCTGTATCGGTTTATTGTTTTTAGGTAATATTTTGTCATCAGCCAAAAGACATTGTTGATGCTTTGTTTTAATGAAGTATCTCAGTGCCAAAGATGTTTGCTTTTATAGATATAAAGTATATATTGGTTGGTGAACTAAAATATTTTTGTGGTTTTATTTGAAAATTTGCTAATAAAAAGTTTTGTGGTATTTATTGCATCTACCAATTCATTTTATGCCTACATTCAGATCATTATGAATGCATACTCATATTAAGATGAGGGATCCCCAAGTATTTTAGGATTGTTGGAGAACATGGAATTTTGAAGATTGTATAGGTACCATCAGAAAAAAAAGCACCATGGTGTGTATAAGTGTTCAAGTAACCAAACACCCATGTGCCAGAAGGCAAGCTGGTGAAATAATTTTGTTCTTCCATACATTCTCTGTGGCT